GTGTGTGTGTGGATGGTGTGTGTGTGTGTGCGCGTGTGCGCTCGCGTGTGCGTGCGTGCGTGTGCGTGAGTGCGTGCATGTGATTGCGTGCGTGTGAGTGCGTGCATGTGATTGCGTTCGTGTGCGTGCATGCGTGAACGTGCGTGTGCGTGCTTGCGTGCATGTGCGTGCGTGCGGGTGCGTGCGTGCGTGTGCGTGTGCGTGTAAGTGTGCGTGCGTGTGTGTATGTGTATGTGTACATGCGTGCGTGCGTGCTTACCCCATGCCCCCGTGCGTGCGTATGTGATATAAAGACCTTAAAACTGTCAACGGTCAGGAATGCGCAACTTATAGAGAAGCATGTGAAGCTCTGCATCTTTTAGAAAACGATAATCACTGGGATGAATGGAGAAAGCTGTGCAGTGCCAGTCACCAGCCAAAATTAGGGATCTTTATGCAACACTCATATCATCGTGCGGGCTATCTAATGCACATGAATTGTGGGACAAATATAAAGAACCTTTGTACGTAATTACTATAAGACTGCTTCTGTACCTTAATGTGTGTACATAAAATAAATAAAAAAAAGAGTACATGGCGGAAGATATTTTGCGAAGGTTACACCAGACACCCGTGAACATGACATACAATGAACATATTTATAATTGTAATAGTGGGGATAAGCGGTCCACTATTAACAGACTCCGAGTGGTCTAGTGGCGGAGAAATAAAACTACTATTTATGTGCAAACGACTGGTGTATCAAGTATTGAATATGGAATATGGAATGAATTTTACGTCGACCCAGCCTATATTTATATGTCCGGCTACGTCGTTAGATAACCAATAGTAACAACTTTTATTTGCCTAGCCAATTACAGTACATACATTATGGCCAATAAAGATTATTTAAAATACAACTATTATGTACGTTCCATTTGCCGGCGTGAGACTCGTGTTATCTTCTCGTATCTACGTCGCTGGACTGGGCTATAAAAGTTGTGATCGCCCTCTAAATTGGTTGAATCTCCAAAAATAAACATTCCAACCTCCCTCCCCCTTATCCCAATTTCTTCGGGCGCAAAAAAAAGCGCGCGCGCTTAGTCGGCGATTGACGGCGGCGTGGGACACAGCTCTGGAACAGCAAGTAGAAGCGAGCTGCGGCGTTGAAGAAATGGCTTCAAAATGGTCGACGGATACATAACGATAGCGGCGTGTGAAGACGATGTGGCGCTGAATGATATTTGCGGCTGTTTCTTGTTTCTTTATTAGAACGTTAAATATATACGTCAAATTATCTCACATCAATATGCAGCCCGCAGTATCTCAGTAGCCGGGGATAGTTAGGAAATAAATGTTTTCTTCGCCTTCTGTGTTATGGTAGCAGCAGGGTATATATGATTTATTCCCGATTAGCCTGGCTGCTACATAATGAAGCACTTGCAAAAATTGGAGATAAAGTAATGGCAATGGTAGGCAAAAAATTAAGCGACTTTGGAATGATAAGCCCTCAGAAAACAACCGAAAATGAACTAAGTGATGAAATTATACGTGAACCAAACAACGATATACCATCTTTGCAGCAGCAAGTAGCCGAATTTGTACCACGCTTGCTTCCCGAACAAAAACGAGTTTTTGACAAAGTATTAGGACAAATTGAATTTGGAAATGGTGCACTTTTCTTTTTAGATGCGCCTGGAGGAACTGGGAAGACTTTTTTGTTAAATTTATTATTAGCGTAAGTACGGAAAGATAAAAACATTGCTGTGGCCGTAGCTTCCTCCGGTATAGCCGCCACGCTGCTAAGCGGGGGCCGCACTGCGCATTCTGTTTTAAAACTCCCTCTAAATCTAGCCCAGGAAGAATCGCCGATCTTCAACTTTAGCAAAAATAGTGCACGAGGTATATAATGCTACGACCTTGCAAACTTTTAGTGTGAGACGAAAGTACAATGTCGTATAAAAAAGCTGTAGAAGCACTAAATCGAACGCTCCAGGATTTGCGCAGCAATACCGATGTAATGGGAGGAATGGTGGTTTTACTGGCTGGTGACTTTCGCCAAACTTTACCTGTCATTCAAAAGGGCACACCTGCAGATGAAATTAAAGCATGCCTCAAGTGGTCTATTTTATGGAACAAGATGACAAAATTCACTTAAACTACGAATATGAGAGTGCATTTGTATAATGATATCAATGCTGGAAACTATGCTGACACACTATTAAAAATTGGCGATGGGCGGTTGAAAACGGATGCTGAGGGCTGCGTTAAATTGACGAGAGATTTTTGTAATTTAGTACAGAGTCATTCCGAATTAATTGCGAGCGTTTATTCAGATTTAACGAATAACATGCATGAAGACAAATGGTTATGTGAAAGGGCGATTCTTGCACCAAAAAATGAGAGCGTTAACAAAATAAATTCAGATATATTAAGCGAAGTAGCAGGAGAAATAACAGAGTATTTGTCAGTAGACACAGTTATGGACACAGAACAGAGCACTTCATATCCCGCAGAGTTTCTAAATTCTCTAGAGTTGTCAAGTGTGCACTCACATAAGCTTCAATTAAAATAAGCAGTCCCAGTCATGCTAATGCGAAATTTAGATGCTCCTCGGTTATATAATGGGACAAGGCTACGTGTGACACATCTTGGATGGAACATAATCGGTCCTACAATTTTGACAGGCGTAGGAAAAGGTGAAAATGTTATTATACCACGGATCCCTATAATTCCCACAGATCTTCCTTTTTAATTCAAAAGGTTGCAGTTCCCTATTAAGCTCAGTTTTGCAATGACAATTAATAAAGCGCAAGGGCAAACGTTACAGGTAGCGGGGGTCAACTTAGAAAAACCGTGCTTCTCTCATGGTCAGCTGTATGTAGCATGTTCGCGTGTGTCAAATGCCCAGAATCTCCACATTCTTTCCCCGAATGGAAAAACATATAACATTGTGTACAGTAGCGTCTTAAAATAGTGTTCAGTTAGCTGTTTTTTTTTTTCAAAATTCCCACTATCAATTAATCAGAATTCCCACAGATCTTCCCTTTCAATTCAAAATTTCCTATTTAGCTCAGTTTCTCAATTCCAAACTGCACCCTACGGATCTTTTATTTAGCTCAGTTTCCTTTCAATTCAGAAAACTGCATCTCTGACGAATCAATTTAGCTCAGTTTCTTTTCAAAAGTCTGCATCCCTGACGGATAATTATGTTCAGTTTCCTTTAATTAAAAAAAATTTCCCATTTCCATTTGGAATAAACAGGCTATTTTCATGCTTTCCTATACGCTGCGTTTCAAAACATTTAAATAAGCTGACGAATCAATTTTGCTCAGTTTCCTTTTAATGGTTGCATCTCTGACAAATCTATAAAACTCAGTTTTCTTTCAATTTAAAAAGCAATTGATAGTTCATTTCCCAGTGACCACGCGGGCGAAGCCGCGGGTAACAGCTAGTGTTAAAATAAACTTCTATAATGTATGTAACTGTTAATTTATAAATGTTGGTACCTAATTATTAAAAGTTATACTTAGAATAAGATAAATAAAGCAGCCATTATGTACTCCGTGTTCCCGTTTTTATTTCACCAGCACAAAATTTACCTAATAAATAGCCTGAATATTCTTATTAATAAAAAATATTAACAGTGGCTATGATTGAATATGTGCAATAACTTAGTAAGCCTTATAACATAGTTTGAGTAAGACTAATATCATTTTAGAAATTAGGATGGTTTTTTATTTCAATAGCCTCGCAAATCATCCTTGGAAGGAATCAGCGTTCTTTAGCGAGGATTTGTGGTCTATCAAATCTAATGTAGTGACGGGGGCGATCCTGTACGTGTTCATAGACTGCAAACGCGTCAATTCTTCACATCAGCTACATAGCTGATGTGAAGAATTGACGCGCAATGTGACGCGAACACATATTATTTAACGCGGGTTTCTTCGTCGTCATCGTCTTTAGCAGCATCTTTCTAACTCAATTATATTATATAATTAAGTAACTCAAAATAATAAAAACTGATACAAATTTAAAATCAACTGGATGGTTGATACCAAGAAAACAAAATGGATTAATATTTTTGACGCAACCTTTATTTTTATTAAATTATATAATAAAATAATATATATATATATATATATATATATATATATATATATATATAATAAAATTATTTAATTTTGATTGTGAATATTGCTTCCGATGGTTACCAAAAGAAAGAGAGGGTTATGCTTGGCATTTTCAAATAATTGATCTACTATTTCACCAGAGATCGGATAAGATTCGTTATTGAGCAGAGTCAAATCAAATCGTTTATTTCGTGAACAGGATGTAGATGTTGGTTACTAATTATATGTACATTATGACCCACCAATAGGCCTCAGAACAATAATATTGTTAATAACAAAAATATTGTATTGTAAGCATAGATCAATTATTTACTGTTCTGGTTCTGAGCAATAGGCATACAAAGAGCAAAACTCTGTCATTATTTGTATTGCAAAAACGAAACGTTTCTTCAAAATAGGTAAGTTAAAAAAAAAGCATAAGACAACGCCATTTATTCGACTAGCGGCAGACATATAGTACTAATTTGTCAAAATAGGTTATTATACGACTAAATAAATAGTCGTGTGTTTAACTTCAGATTAATTGGATTTCTCTTTCGCACCTTTATATAACTCATTTGCTGTCACTTTTATTGTTTTTCGTCAAACAGAACTTCTTGAATTGTCGAATAACTACCGTGAGGCTACGTCGCTAATTCGTATCGTTTTCTAACGCAAGAAAACCAAAAAAACAGTGTAATATATCCATTTTCGCCAAGAAAATGTTTTACATTTATGTTTACGGAGTGATTAAGCACAGCTGAAACACAGTTTATAAGTGTAATATAGAAACGTGGTTATAGTGTGGCTAGCTAGGTGAACAGCTAGAGATTGGCGAGCAGTCTCGCCAGTGAAGAGCCTCGGTCGGGCGAAGTCGTCTGGCGCGGACTAGCGACTACGACAGCAGCCATGGCGGAGGCGGAAGCACCTGGTAACATTGTAAAGGAAGGCTGGTTGCAAAAGCGAGGAGAACATATCCGAAACTGGCGAGATCGCTACTTCATCCTGTTCGACAATGGCGATCTTGTAGGATTCAAAACGCAGCCCGAGCGCAACAACTATCGTGATCCACTAAACAAGTTTACTGTTCGCGATTGCCAGATCATGGCTGTGGATAAGCCCCGTCCGCACACCTTCACTATTCGCGGTCTGCAGTGGACCACTGTTATTGAGAGAAACTTCTCTGTTGACACCGACAAAGAGAGGTAAGTTTGTTTACTACGATTTTCCACGGTCTAGAATGAAGTAAAAACAATTAGTGATAGATTCATATTATCCCAATTCCTCCATGTATAAATTGTTGCAAAATTACAGTATTTTGGCTCCCAAATTTATATGTTGATCAACACATAAAAATGACTACATTTTTATGTGTTGATCAACATGTCAAACGCAACATTTAATTCATTGGTAAACATTTCATTAATCTCAAATCTAATACCACTATTTTATTATTTCACAGCATAGCATCATTAAAACCATTTATTTATTTATTTAAAATCTTTATTGCTTCCCCTTAGAAAGTATACAAAGGGCGGACTTAATGTCTAAAGAAGGCATCCTCTAACAGTCAACCCATACTTCTTTCTAAGTAACGAAATGTAGCAATATTACATTAAGTTTTGTCTGCTTCATATTAGGTTAGAAGACTTGTTTATTGTTTACTAATTTTCATGTTCAATATTAAGTCACTTTTAATTCCTGAAGCTTTTCAGCAGCCAATTTCATATTTAACCCTTTTTTAACTGTCTGTGCCCGTGTTCACCATTGCTTACATCATTACGTTAGATATTATATGATGATAAAAATCATCACATTGAAATGAAAAAATATACTAATTTTAATAGAGAAAATGACTGGGTGCTACTTTCTCCTTGGGATCCTATAATTATTAAATTTTCCTCTTTTTCCTTTTTAAAAAAACTTACCCCTACACAAATTCTCTTATCTGGGGGCAGTTTACAAAAAACAAAAACCTCTTAAATCCAAATACAAGCATACTTCTGCATGTTTTCAAGATTCTGTAAGATTTATGCATAGATTGGCCAAACAAAAATTAATAATTAAAACTAAAGTTACACAATAGCACATACTGCATAAAGTTTTCCAGATTATAGTGTTGTATAAAATAAAAGTTCAAATTTACTTACAAGATGAACTCTTGATTGTGGAGTAAAGAGTATTCAAGAGAAGCCGTAACAAACAGCTTTGCACTGTTATTATTATTATTTTTTTGTACAATATTGAAGTGACAAATAGACCTACAGTATAGATATGGGATGAGTGCTCGATTTGGATTTGGTACTCGGCGGATTCTGCCTTTTTTAGGGTTCAACCGGACTCGGCCTTAATTATGTACCAGAGAAAAATAAATACAAAAAGCCAGTTTCTATCATTATTTATTATATTAGACACATTAAAACATTAGGAACATGAGAAACAATAGAAATATTGAGAAAGTACATAAGACTCTATAATCAGGCCTCTATCACTCTTGCTACCTGCGTGAAATAATTACCTAAAATTGCAATGAGCCCTGGTGAAATAACACAGTCAGGGCTAGCGCATTGGAGGCAATTAAATGTTAGAGTTTTTCAACGCTGTTTATGTAGTTTTATGTAAATGCTTGTTGAAATAGTTTTTGTTTAGTGTTTAGTATATTTAATTGTAGGTAAAAATAGTTGTAAAAGATTTAATGTATTTTAAAAATTATATGATATGTATATTACCTATTTGATAAATTATAATAGCAAAAACGTTGTTCCTACTATAACTGTTGTTAGTTACGTTAGTTAAGTTACTGAAGAATTTTAGAAGGAAGTTATGAAAGGCGAATTTATTTAATTTTTTTGTTAGATAGGTACTCACAGCAAAAAAGAATTTAGTAATAATTTGGTCTACAGAAGAAATACCTAAGTACTTCATTACAAAAATTAGTTAATGCCGGCTGTACACGCTCGTCGAGACACCACGAGACAGGCCTAGAGGCTCGCCTTTTATTATATTCGCCGCCGTTATTTAACATTGTTCTTAAAAACTTCGCGTTTTTCTTTATAAATATTATAACATGTATAGTTTTCTTTGTGAATAAACATTTAAAGTGTATATAAATGTATTTAGTGTACATAAACAGACATATAATTGGTGTAAATAAATAATAAATATTTTTTGTATTAAGTTAATTTTTGTGTATTATGTGGATCATAATAATTATGTGATGTGATGGACAATAATACTTAAATACTTACATATTTTGTGACTGTATAAAATTGTACAAAGGTACTAATAATGACAATGTCGCGCATATGTTATAATACCTATAACCTGTTACGTATTCGTAATCATAACATAACACAGTTAAACTAATATTATAATACATACCTATAATATGTTAATATTTTCGTAATTATAACATAACACAAACGCAAAACTAACCTACGCTATACTGTATACATATGTAACTAATTACAAAAATAAGCAGTTTTGAAACTAGTTACTCATATCAACGAAACTACGTACAACCGATTACGTCCAAGACGTTACGACTCATGTCTAGACAGGGCGAGTACGAGTGTGTACAGGGTGCTCTCGTCGCGTCGCGTCGCGTCTCGTGTCCCTCGTGCGCTCTCGGAAGCGTGTCGGTTTTTTGCGCTCGAGTCAAAGGTAGAGATGAGACGTATTTACGCTACCAGGTTTTAAAACCAGGTTTTCGCTTCAAAGTACGGTGCCCTGGTACGGGCAAAAAAATACTTGCAAGTATGAAAGTATGTGTTGTAAGTCAGATGCTCGAAGAACTTGAACACAACACATGAAAATACTTGCATAGGAAAACGATCCATATCTTAATAGGAATAAGAAACTCAATCGTATTTGTGAATAAAAAATACTTTCAACTTCAAAGTATTTTTTTATTTATACGACTTTTTCTCCTTGTTCATAGTAGGATAACATGGAATACGGGTCGTATTCCTATGCAAGTATTTCAAAGTATTTCCAAATTTTGACACCGAAAGCAACGCGGGGTTCGCTCGACGCGTTGGCGGGAGGGACTCGCACAGAGTAGGTTGTCGAGCCCTAGTATTTCCGACGAAGGCCGAATGCTTGAACGGACATCTGTGTAGGTACTTAATGCACATGCCATCCGATCGGATCGGGAACTTGTCAATCAAATAAGCTAACTAAAACGAAACTAACTAAAATAAGCTAACTAATTTCTTTTGACTATTTTGCACCATTCACCCTTATATCTGTATACAAAAGAAACATTATTGTGTATTTTACTTATTCGTAAATAAGAGAATTTATGTTCGAGGAAGTAAAAGTTTTGTTTCGATTTTTTGTAAATTCAGTTGTTATTGTAAACTGAGTACGTAACCTAGATCTGGAGTATCAAACCTTACCAAACATGTACAGAAAAAACATACTTCTGTTAATTTAATGAGAATACTGAAATACTGTAAAACCACAGAATATAATATATTCTTAAATATTATTTTGCAGACAGTCCTAAGCCTGTGATTTAAAAAGTAGGAAGGAAAGATTTCATTTCGTTAACAAAAAATTAAAAAACGTTCAATCATAATACTCGTAATTGTGGCCCGACTCGAAATAGTCATTCATATTATTGTATTGACATTAACAATACGGCGCGAGCAAAAAATACTTGCAAGTATGAAAGTACATGTTTTAAGACAGATGCTCGAATAACTTGAACACTATACGTGAAAATACTTGCATAGGAAAATAATCCATATCTTAATAGAAATAAGAAACTCAATCGTATTTGTGAATAAAAAATACTTTGAACTTCAAAGTATTTTTTTTATTTATACGACTTTGCTCCGTATTCATAATAGGATAACATGCAATACGGGTCGAATTCCTATGCAAGTATTTTCAAATTTTGACACCGCGGCTGGACACGTCGCTCGCGTCAACAAAATACTTTTAAGTATTTTTAGAACCTGGTTTTCGACCCTGGTATTTTTCCATACTCGTACTTAAAAGCCCTGGTATTAAATTTTGCAAGTATGTCTCATCTCTAGTCAAAGGGTCTCGTAGGTATCGCGATGAAAACCGAGAGCGAATGATGATATTACTTAACGTGTATAACATGTATAATCAAGCAGAAAAATGCAAACTGTATTATGACATTTTAATATGTAAAAAGTCAAAGGTCGACATTATAACTACACATCAAAGTCTCTACGAAAACGTACTTATATATAATCGTTAGGTTTTAATTGCTGCTAAAGAATATTTTGTATTTTGTGTACGCTTAGTTAAAGAGGTAAAATATTTTGTATTTGTAATTTCTGTTTTGTCTCAAGACGACATACGTGATTTTATTGTTAATAACTTTTTTTTTTGATGATAATGTATAAAGAAGTGTAATACACTGTAAGAAAGTTTATTAAATACAGTGTTTAATAATATTATTGATTTTTTTTAATTTCATTTAAAATATATATGTACTTAAATTTATGAAGAAACATGTGTTTTTTCCGGGACTAGTAGAACCTCTCTTTTTCTTTACATAATTACAGTCATCTTTCAATAGATCCTGCTAAGTTTTACAAATCTCATAAAATATTTCATACTCTTAATACCGATATCAATATTTAAGTCTTAAGTACCAGGTTTATTGAATAATTATTTACTTTATTTATATATATATATATATATATATATATATATATATATATATATATATATTTTAAATATTGTATAACAGGTAGTCGCTAACACTTTCGATATCGATAGTACGCAAGACGACACAAGCACGGTAATATTATCTATACAGTATTCCAACTTCATACAAACGGACGAAGCGAGAGCTATACCTACGCGCCTCGATCTCGGCATGCGCTCGGCATGCAGACAGTCGAGACTGTGCCGCAGTGATGATTTTGTGAAATATATAAAAAAATGGAGAAAATAAATAATAGAATAGAAATAAAGAAATAATAAATCTGAACTTCATTTAAAAACAAACATATAAATTGTAAAGTAGCTGCAGGTATCTATAACCAATTAATAGATATTCCTTTTCTCCACGTTGTCCATGTTTCCCAAAACAATTTTTAGTTTATATTATTTTTAGCTTTATATTAGAAAGCGGATTTTTTATATTTAAAAATCTAATAATAAAGGATTTCGTAAGTCTCAGCCCAGGCGCAAATATTTTTCAGTCGAAAATTTATTT